AGCACAAAACATTAAGGTTCACAATTTCAGATCAAGGTGTTAAGTACTTTGTACTGAGGCAGGAAGAAATTTCTTTATCCAGAAGCTTACAAATCTTTCAAATTCTGTACCCAGTACAGTCAAATCAGTAAGAGTTTTGGGTACAAAACGAATCAGGGGTAGGAGGATAAATTGGGAGGAATATTTAGGAAAATAATCAGCCTTTATCCTATCAAGCATCAAAGTAGGATCGAAGAGCTTTATGGCCCATCCCTGTTCCCATTTCTTACACTTTTATGTTTACCCAATTTAATATTCTGCAAATTAAATCAAAGTCAAGAAGGAGAAAAATCAAAAATCTGACCTAAGTGGAATTTTTGAAAATTAGAATTAGAATGGAGCAAATTCAAAACAGTTATAGATAGCTTATTTTTCAGATTCATGACAGAAATTTGCCCAGGGACTCAAATTGCTTAATAAAAAAGGTGCAGTGATGGACCTGATAATAAGAGAGATTTGCAATAAATCAGTTAATTTTTGTTTAAAATGACAATTCTCTAAGGTACGAAAACTTGGAGGTTTTCATTGACGATTCTGCAGACCTAATAGGCTGGTTTAAACACAATTTTTAAAAAAATAACATTTACTTACTCTGAAGCACTCTTTCAGTTTGAAGTGCAATGAATTGCTATTTGATGGAGAAGTTTACCACAAAATTATATTTGCAACATCAGAAATTCATTCTCATGAGTTAAGCAAGGACTTCCGACTACAAACCTTCTTACATAATTATAAGGGAATACTTCAAAATATAAACTGCTCTGTATAATTATTACTTTTAATTTAATGCGATTTGGTAGAATGTAGTTTCCAAGAACATGCAAAGAATGGAGGAAAATCGGTCAAATGGCTGCATTAACTAGGGAGCACCAAAGTAAAAATGGAGTTTTGTACTCCATTCCTAGTTCAACATTCCTGTAAAGCAATGTATATTTTTTTAAATTGACTCAAGAAGAGATTACATAACAAGAGGTTAGTGGGAGTCTGGGTTAAGAGACAGAGGAGGGTGTCAAGATCTGGTGCAGACATCAAGAGTATGGAGCAAGGTTAATGAACTGGCTGCTTTTTTTTTTAAACTGCTAGATGTTCATGACTGTGGAAAAGGCCATTGTAAAAGGCAGTATGGAGCACTCTTGTGGTACAGTGTTAGTGTTCCTAGCCCTGGAATGGGAAGCCTGGGTTCAAGTTCCACCTGCTCCAGGTGGTGTGTAATAACATTTGTGAAAAAGCTGATTAGAAAGAAGGTTGAAAAAGGCAGTAAAAATGTGTTTCAGGGGCACACCGGTGATGTACTGAAGAAATTGAGAGATAGTTAGATCAATGATTAAAAGATGGACTTGTTTTAATTAACAGACTTTTCTTATTCATAACTCGTTTCAATTTACATCATACTACAGATCACACAGCAAACCAACCATACAAAGCGGATGATATAAATGGTTTGGAATGTGTCATTATTTCTGATAAGTAAGGGAATCTCCACAGATCACTCAGCATTTGAAGCAATGTATTGGGTTACCAACCAGAGAGCAGGCTATTCTGGATTGCTTACTCCTGCTCCTGGTTCTAATGTTCTTATTAACTTTCATTCAATTTTGAAGATAACTGCTGGCACTCCAACATCATTGAGGGGCAATACTAATTGTCACTATCAATGACCCACTCAGCAAGTTTTCAATTTCAATTACATATTTTTAGGCGATTTATAAACAAGATTGGAGTAGAGACTAGGAACAAAATCAGAGAAAGCACAAGTAAACCAGACCATTATTATGCACCATCTAACGAGAAATTCTAAGGTCCAAGAAGCCTGACTGGCTTATTCTCTTGGTCAAGTAATAAGACACTATGTTAAGAGTTATTCGTGAATGTGAAGTTCATAAAAATTCAAAATATTCATTCCTGACAACTGAATTGAGTTAAATCAAATTTAACTATTAAATGCTACCCTTTCCAGATATTTCACAGAAATACAAGACTTTGAAATCTCCAGGTATAATAAAACTCCAAGTTTTGGCAAAAGAACCATTTCCATAAGATTTTGATGCATGTGGATCATTTGGGCGTTCACTGTAGATATCAAGGCCACTTCGCCAAAAATCCTTAATCCAAACACCAATCATCTGACAGAAGCCTCCAAATCACTCCTGTGTGTTCAATCATCAGGGAAACAAATTTGAAGTACTGACATATTGAATAAAAAATGAAACAATGATTATATAGGTTACACAAATGAGGCTCAAGGTCATACTATAATCAAACTAAAAATGACAAAGCTTCCCAAACTTGCGTATTATGAAAGGATGTATTAATTAGGAAGCAATTTTTATTACAAATGAATAAGGCCAATATGCCAGTGAACTACTGATGGAGTAGATAGATGTACCATCTTTCAGGTGAGACATTAAATCAGGGTCTCATCTGCTCTCTAATGTGAATGTAAAACATCCCACTGCACCGCAGCACTGTGAAGAAAGGTGGAGAAATTCTCCCCAGTGTCCTGACCAATAGTTGCCACTTGACCAACATCATCAAAACAAATAACCTAATCATCATCATATCGTTTTTCATGGGAGATTGTTGTGCACTAAATAACTGCTATGAATCTTGTAGTACATCAATGATCACACTACAAAAGCATGTCATTCACTGTAAAGTGCTTTGGGATATCTAACTGCCATACAAAGCAATACATAAATGCAAATCTTTCTTCTTTTGCCCTTCTCTTTGAAAATTTAAAAGTTGGCCTGTAATTTTCTTGTTTCTATCAAATATAGATCTAAGCATTTATGCTTACAGTACCTGCAAATCATACCATCCAGTTACCCAAGTCTTCAAGATCCCACCAGACACAAGGATAGGCAAACAAGTTTCACAAGAGCGAGTTCTTCACAAAGCAAGGTTAATCAATGGAATCTGTTTTCTTTTTGAGTATCTGTTCTTAATTAACTTTGAAATTTTGATGGAAGCCATTTTTATTATGACCCTATGGAGCTTGGCAGTGAAATTCCCAAGCCATCAGTAGACAATATTGCCTATTCATGAAGGTAAAGTATTCATAAATCCTTTTTTAAATTGGTCACTCATGTTCATGAAACATAGATGTTTCAGACAAAGTACAAGTAACAGAAAAAAGCCCTTTTCTTGACAGCAACAAGCTAAATTCAGTTAATATATCTTTACAAATATGATTTACATAATGAATGCAATGTACAACTTTTAAAACACTAAATTGGATTGTTGGTTAAAAATTACCCATTGGAAATAACTACATTAAGTAAGTATGAGAGTCAGTAAAATTTCACTATGGAAAGCACAGAAGAAACAACTTACATTCCCATTATTGCTACCACGGAAACGTCCTGTAAAGTGAGTAAATGTTTATTCCTACAACTTTGAACATTTTGGGATGATCTTACCAGAATATTCCCCAATAGAATGGAAGATTCACTAAGTTCTCACCCTTAACTCTCAGCAACCATTCCCAAATCACAGTTTCCAGATCTAACCACAAGATGTTAACAGGCTGGGTTTTACTGTTTTTGTTTCCTCTGCCTTCATGGTGTTTCAGGTGGTTTCTTTCCAAGAATCAAAATACCATAGAATAGTTAACATAATCTTCAAAGTTGTAACTTTCTAAAATAATTAAACAACACTGATCACAACATGTGGAGGCATATTTATTCAAAATAAACAGAAATCCTCAGTGGGACTAACTCCCCAACTTGCAATGCACCTGCCTGCCCCCTTAACAGCTGAAACTGAGTAGGTAGTGAAGGGAAGTACCCACCCTGACTGTCTTGCTCATGTTGAAGGACTGGAAAAGAAGAAAGTGATGCATATACGTATATTCACATCAATACATTCTCACCAACATTCCCTGTAGACTGTGCAGCTGCTGGCAAACCCCACGCACAGTTGGTCATCCTCTGCTAAATGAATTCCGCTTCCATTTAAACTACCATGCAGGAAGGAAAATAATTAGGGGCAACATTGATTCTCACACATATATTCTACAATGTGGCACACATTGCTGCTGCAGTGTTTAAATGGATGCAAGTGATGAGCAGAGCAAGGAAATGGAAACAGTAAATTGTTGGCTTCAAACTTTCAGCAAATACAACATTCTCATCAAATGAAATCAGCAAGGGGTTTTGACCAAAATAGATTAGTGGGTAATAAGAAAATCTTAGTGCTGTGTTCTATATGCGCAATGAGTTCACTTAAAAATTCAAGGCAAAAAAAAATGTTCAAAATAGCTTCAAGACCCGAGTAATGTGGTGATAACTAACATTGGGACAGGTCAATTTTTATTGGTTTTGATAATACAGAAACAACTTCTGCGTGTACACCAGGCATTTGTAAATGTTCAAATTTATGAAAGTTTGCATGAAAAAAACTACAAAACTGTTTTTCGTTAAGACAAGAATGATTGTACCAGTTCTCCAGCAGCTCTCTCCAGGTGTACAAGAGGTACAAGATATTTAACTTCTCCGGAAAACGACAATTAGCATTGTACTTTTGGGATGCAGAGCAAAACTTTTTTTGTTTTAAGTTTGTCAAATGTTACTAGCTGAACAAAGTAACGAGTGCTCACAAAACTTTGGTTGGTTAAGATTTGTGAACCACAGAATTCAAAAACAAAATGAACATTGATATAATTGCTCAGGTTGAGCGACAAATATTACACCAGGTTTAGAAACCATAGCAGCAAGTACAAATAGTGTATTTCTCTCTTTAAAAGGAATTATTTTGACCAATTTTAATGAAACATTAACACAAGGGAAGAGGATAAGATGCCATGACAAGGGAGAAAAATATTGCACTCAAAAGGTGAACCAGTTTTGACAATGATTACAAAACAGCACCTATTGTCAATTGTAAATATGGGGGAAGGTGTTGACAAATAACTATTCACTTATTAATAAATTGCAGACAAGAGAAAGATAGAATGGACCCACCTGCATGTCAAACAGTAAGGTCCTGCAGAGCACTAGGAGAAAAAGGAAAACAGCTGTTACTTTTCAGTCATTGTGTTACCTAAAAGCAATTTTGAAATATCAAGAATTAAGGTTAAAACGAACTTTAAGCACCACACATAAATTGAAAATGAATTTCGGCCACAATTATACTTTTCCACCTATCAAAACAAAACAGAGTAAGAGCAACATAGAAATTGAGTGTAGTTATTTATCAACATTTATCAATCAGACAATTCTTCTACTTGAAAAAAATTGAACCAATATGAAAAATACCCCAATAGTGAAACACACAGAAATCGGACAAGAGCCACTTCTAGGATTAAAATCGATTTTTAAAAAAAATCTTATAAATTAAAAAATAACGGCTAAATAAAGCAACATCCTAATCTCGTGCATTAACAGGGTAGAGCTAGAGGTCTGCTGAACCTGGCAGATCTGCTGGTTTAGACAAAATGGCGGTTCAGCAAATGTCTGCCTTATCATAAGTCACTTTATGCATCCAATCGTCCAGCCAAAAATATAGCCTCGAAACACCTCAAAAAGAACTTTAAGTGACTACCGGCTAGGCGACTACAATTATTTAGCCGTTTTAAAATTACTAGTTAAGAATAAATACAGAAAAAAGCTTCAAAACTAGTTTCCTTTGGTAAAAATAGAAAATACTAAGTTGGGGGAAAAGCAAAAAAATTATTCTCTTGAAAACGATCAATATGAATTAATGCAGGTACTAGAGAAGAAATTATTTGTTAAAAACAACCCTACAGTACAAGTCTACTGGTTAGAATGCAGTATTTAAGGGATTGCCACGCCCTGACAAAATTCTGCAGTTTTCAGCTAATTTCCAACCTTAAACAACTATTTTAAAAAAGCGATACCTATTTATTGGTTTCAAACTTTTCTTTTCCATGCATATATTAGAAATCTACTCCTATTCGATTTTTGCTTTACACCAGTCAAGTCGCAATTTTCCTCCTTAAAACACTCTACATTTCAGGTATAGTAATGTTATGCTTCTAACAATTTACAAATGCATCAAAAACGCATATTAATTTTAATTTAATTCAATGAAAATTTAACATGTTTTCTCAAAAACCAAGGTTTTTTTTTCCAGAAGTCTTCTCAAATAAGATACTGCAATAAAAAGTAAATTTTCTTCATTATAATACTTTTTTTTTTATTAATCTGTTAAAATAAACCCCCTATGAATTATTCTGATTATTTTCGGAAAAAAAATCTTGAAACGTCAGCAGCAATGGAGCTAGTGAGTTGCATCAGGCTGCACAGTAAGGGTGCAAAAACAGTGAGGATCCGAAAAAGCTTGAAATATCATCAATTAGTGAAAAAATACGTTTCTTTTTGTACAGATAATCTACTTTATAGATCAAAAATCATAAACATGGTAAAAAGAAATTATTTTTGAACCCGAAAATAGCCTTTCTCCCCCTTCTTAAACCCTGATGCGGATGGCCCTGAGCATGCACTGTGACCACTACCAAAAGACTCTGATATAAAAAACAACTCACTCTGCCTGTAACCTCGTCGAGCTCCAACATTTCAAAGCCAAAAATCATTGAAAAGCATTTTCCCCACCTCGGAAAAGTCTACCTGGCAAATTCGAACCCTTTTTTGTTCCTGATTCGCCCCCCAGAAACCTTCCTACCTAAAATCCTTAGCTCAACCTCTGAGCAATTGTAAAGGGTGAAAAAAAAGACTGCTCAGTTCCCCCTGCGCAACTTTCTACACTCAAATTGCACATTTTCTAGGGCAGGGAAAAATCTGAAAAAAATTCAGTGTAAGCCTCTATGCCTAAGGAAAACATGTGCAAAGTCTCAAGTCTGGGAGATTTGTTGTTGAAGAATAAAAAATTTGTATTTGCATGTATTAAAATTGCGCCAAAGCTAACGTCTCTGACTGCCTTGTAACCTTGCCAAGTGGCTGCTATCCTGGTTAGTACAGTAAACTGCCGACCTAGATTTTCTTCCTCTGTAGCTCCTTGGCACAGGGTCAATTTTTAAACATCTGCTTTCTTTTTTCTCACCATATTTAGAAAATATAGTAATCAAATGCTTACTTCAATGATTTTGTTTTAATTTTTCTGATTTCCACCCCCCCCCTCTAAAATGGTGTTAAAATAAGCAGTGGCACCATGCTGCTTGGTGAATCTGCTGCTGCCAATGCAAAACTACATTTTTTTTTGAATCAAGGGGAGACAGAGGAGGCTAAATGCACATCCTACCCTCTTTCACCCAAAGATTGAAAAACAAAACAACACAACACAAAACTACCAGAAGGTGTCGAACATTAAGGAATATATGAAAGGTCAAAGACAAACATTGATCTTCCCTTACAATCACAAAATCATGCATGTTCATTTTAAAACTCTCCAACATAAAAACTCTGCATTCACATTTGCATACCCAATCAACATTGTCAGAAATATTGATGAGAACAGAGTCAGGCAACTTTACATTCAACCAAACACAAATAGTCCAAAGTCTTAAATTGTGTAATTGTGAACCATTCTATGGTAATTGTTAGATTACCACCATCCTACTTCTCAGCAAACAAAGCTAACATGTGAAACATCCAATTAGAAGACTGAGCTCTAAATACGTAGCCATCATTTTCTAAAGCAAAAGACTGCTACATTTCCAAGGCTAATGCCATAGCTATCAGTTTTGTACAAATGCGCTGCATTATGTCTTGGCAAGATGCAATCTTCTCTTAGTAGTTAACTTTCTTTTAAATAAAGTTTCTATGATCAAAGCTCACCTAACTTAGAAAGCCTTGTTTAAAAAACAGTTTATGTTTTCTCAACTCTATTTTGAAATAATTACTCCATACAATAGTCACTGACTCAACTGAAAAGTGGAAGGGAGCAAGTGGCCTATTCTGAAACTTCAATATCACTCAGTCAATAATCATTAAGGTTTAAATATGGTAACGTGATCTCCAATTTCTCCAGTCTACTTTCCTCAATACCCCCTCATCTCCCTTTCAATGCATGACTAAGATTAGAAGATTGCCTTTTTGTCCAGATTTATGCTCTACCAATCTGAGATATTTTATTATTGAGTACTGTACACTGCAAGCTTGCCAACTGAAGTTTCTCCATTTCCTTAATAGTTATAAAAATTAGCTTCAGTTAATTCCGTCCTGCACCTAATCAACAAATCTTAGCCACAACCTTTGCTGCCACATCCTCCGAACCTTCACAGCCAGCCTCGACGTTCTGAATGGTATTTCTTACATATCCAAAGCTGTCTAAAATATACAGTCATAAATACTATATGCTGTATTTACCTTGTATGACAATCTAAATAGAACAGGGATTGACTACTCAGGGAAGATGCAAAGTGAAAAGGCTGATTATGGATATATAAAACTGATGAGAGTGGAGGCCTGTTTTCTGGGCACCCTGCCTCACTTGAAGAACTTGCTGCAGAATGATTAACTTGCAACCAGTGGTCAAAGGAGGTCTTTGAGCTGAACAGTCATTGCACTACTAAATGGTTACTTGGAGATAGCTATCTTAAAAATAGAAAGTCTGTTAACTTTGTTTAAGGAAACTATTTAACATTTGGGCCAGAGAAGCTTCATCTAATTTCACCTATTACAGATCATCAGTTATTCTTCACTCTTCCTACTCTCACTTATAAATGCATGTTCCCATCCTGGCCTTTTGCAACCAGTACAATAAAATTTGTTTATTACTAAAACTAAATTCCATTCAAGAGACACTGGGTGCTTAACTATGATCAAATCGACATTCAACTAAGGCTACCATTTTCTATTTGGGGATCTATATTTTTGAGAGTGATCAGCTTTAGAAACAAACATTCACTCAACCAGTGACATCATATTTAGCTATTCATAAAATAACTGTCTAATTGAATTTATCAAGTGGAAATGATATTTGACAAAGCTGATAGAGTGAGGATTTTGTTAGCTGTGTGGATGTGGTGCATTGAATTTTCAGAGTACTTTGTTAAATTTCTACACAGGTCAGTAACCAAAAACCTCATGCAATTTTTTTTTAAATATATATATAAATCATTACCAATGATCTGGATGTGGAAACCAACTGTAATTGCAAATTTAGAAAGGAGTCAAAAACATTTTTCCACACTGTAGGGATGCTATGCCCAAATCTCTGTTCGGAGGGTGACGCAAAGAAGTTTTAAGGGACTTAAGACATGCTGAGCGAGCAAGGACATGGCAGGGAATGCAATGTTGATATATGAAAGGTTATCCACTTATGTAGGAGTAACAAAGATGCAGAGTATATCTCAAATAGTGAAAGATTGGAAAGTGTTGAGCTCAAGAGAGACCTGGGTGTCCTTGTTCCTAAGTCAGTGAAAGCTAGCAAACAGGTGCAAGAAAGCAATTCAGAATGCAAACTGTTTTGTTTTAAAAACTTTATCGCATAAGGATTTGAGTACAGGAGCAAAGTCATCTTGATTCATTGAAAGGAACACTGGTGAGATCCCACCTGGAATATTAAGTGCAATTCTAGACCCTTGCCTAACGACAGATATACTTACCACAGAGGGAATGCAGCGGATGTTTAATAGACTGACTCCTGGGATGGTGGGTCTATCCTATGTGGATAATGGGATTGTATTTCCTGGAGTCTGATCTCAGAAACTTACAAAATTCTTAAAAGGGTTGATTAATAGTTATCGCAGTATTACGTTTCCCCGGGATGTAGAATTTAGAACCAGGGGACAGCATCTCAAAATGAAAGGCAAGCCATTTAGAACTGAGACAAGGCGGAACTTCACAGGTGTTGGTGAATCTTTGGAATTCTCAACCTCGGAGGGATGTGGAAACACAATCATCAAGTTCTGCTCAAGACAGAGATTGATTGATCTCTAGTTACGAATGACAAAGGTAAAAAGATAGGGTAGGATTATAGCATGGAGATAGAAGATCAGCCATGATCTTGAACAGCAGAGTAAGCTTGATGGGCTTGATTATAGCATGGAGATAGAAGATCAGCCATGATCTTGAACAGCAGAGTAAGCTTGATGGGCTGAATAGCCTACTCCTGCTCCTGTATTGGATAAAGTGTAGATGAATGTTCTTTCCTTTGGTTATTCCTTAGAAATGTTTAGAACTTGCCTTGGAAAATTTGCAGGAAGATATAATCTGGTGGAAGACACCAAATCTAGCTTTCTGTGATCAACAGCAAGGCCATTCCTTTTACTGGTGGTTTTTTAAAGCTCTTGTTTTACCCAAGAACATTCTTTTAAAATATTAAAATAATATGCAAGTTTCTACTGGAAAATTAGCCCACTGTTTTCACAAGGAGAAAACTATTACAAAACAAAAGATTTCTGTTGAGCTTGCCTGGAAAGCACAAAAAAAAAAGAGGGCAAAACGTCAGGCAGCATCAGAGGAGCAGGAAAGGTGACGTTTCGGGTCAGGACCCTTCTTCAGAAAATTTTTCTGAAGAAGGGTCCCAAACCGAAACGTCAGCTTTCCTGCTCCTCTGACGCTGCCTGGCCTGCTGTGTTCCTCCAGCTCCACATTGTTATCTCGGACTCCAGCATCGGCAGTTCTTACTATGGCAGGACAAAATGTTGGTTTCTTTCATAGGATAAATAATTAAGAATGAAAACACTTTTAGCAGTCAAAATATAAAAGGCTCTAGGTTTATGTAGAAAGGTTTTGTAAATCAACAAGTTAATGTCTGATCTACCAAGAATGCTTGTAGTATACAAACAAAAAACTCAGCAACCTACTGAAGCTGTCAAATTTCAGTCCATGAATTTTGGGTGGCATGGTAATTCAGTGGTTAGCACTGCTGCCTCACAGCCCCAGGAACCTGGGTTCGATTCCACCCTCTGGCAACTGTGCGTGCAGTTTGCACGTTCTCCCTGCGTCTGCATGGGTTTCCTCTGGGAGCTGCGGTTTCCTCCCACAGTCCAAAGATGTGCAGGCTAAGTGGATTGGCCATGCTAAATTACCCATGGTGTTCAGGGATGTGTAGATTAGGTGGTTTATAAGGGGATGGGTCTGGGTAGGATGCTCTGAGGGTCGATGTGGACTTGTTGGACTGAAGGGCCTGTTTCCACAATGTAGGGATTCTATGATCTATGATTCTACGATCAGGAGCAGTGGTCTGCCATTTCCAACTTTGCAAACGTGATGTCATATTAGTCAGATTCTGTAAAGGAATCATTCACATCAACACAATTTAGAAGACCTGACCACCCACAAATGTCTCTAAACAACGATTGACAGAAAACAAAAGACTGAGGGATTTATAGATGGTGTGTTTAAAGTACATCATCTACTTTGGATTATGTGGTGAAATAAAATTCCAATCCAATGTCAGTCGTATCACACATTGCATCACTGATGTTTGGCAGGTCGTACCCTAGTCAAGGTAGACTGTCCACTTTTCAAATACAAGTATAAAAAACACATTCCAACTACTGTAAATGGGGAAAAATGTGTCAAAAAGGAATTTTTAAAATTCATGAATTATACATAGCAGCAGACTGGGCTATTTTCCAAAGGAATGACAAACTAAGGTTGAGATGACATTGAAGTCAAAATTGTTGAAGTATATCTCCTACAATTTCATTTCAACCTTCCTCTCTCCTCTTCTACCCGCACCCCCAAAAAGTCTTTAGCTCTTTATAAGTTTGTAGAAATAATTCTGCGCCTCTATGCGAAATAAATAGCAAGTGAATGATGTATTAT